CTTAGTAAGTTCAAAGTTCTTGCTTACAGTCTCTTTTTATCTTGTGTTTCTCATTATCCTTTAGAATTGAATATTGTTTTTGAAATTTTATTTGTAGAAATATTTTGAGGCTAAGATTTCCTTTATCCAGAGGCAATATTCATTTGCTTCTGACAGGTACATGGAGATGCTCCCAGTCCAGTATGTGAATCCAGATTCAAGGCTTTTAGTTCCTTGAATGTGTTGTTAAGTCTAGCGATGCCTCGTTTATTTCTGCTCATTTTCACTCTGGAGGATGTAGTTTTTTGGGTCCTAGCTTTAATTGGAGGCGGTTTCTCAGCTATCCCACCTTTAGAAGGCTTTTGGACTTTGACTTTTCCCTTTTAGCCCTGTGGAGCCACAAAAATCAAAGCTCATTTCTACATTTGTTACTTCATGTCAAAATTAGCTTTGAGTCCTGAGGTTAACTCTCTGGATTCTCCTGTTCTCAATTTTAGCCCAGTAATCCTCACTGTCGTTTTAGCCTTTTATATGTTGAAGAAGATTTTTTGAAAATCAATCCAACTTTTAAAGAGTTTTCAATGGCTGGTTGCAGTGGCTCACGTCTGTAATCCCAGCACTTTGGGAGGCCAAGGCGGGTGGATCACCTAAGGTCGGGAGTTCGAGACCAGCCTGACCAACAGGGAGAAACCCTGTCTCTACCGAAAATACAAAATTAGCCAGCATGGTGGCGCATGTCTGTAATCCCAGCTACTCGGGAGGCTGAGGCGGGGGAATCACTTGAACCTGGCAGGCGGAGGAGGTTGTGGTGAGCCGAGATCGCATCATTGCACTCCAGCCTGGGCAATAAGAGCAAAACTCCATCTCAAAAAAAAAAAAAAAAAAAAAGAATTTTCAACTGGAGGGCTGGTCTGAGTTATTCAGTCTGCCATTACGAAAGAAGGTAACCATCTGCCATTAAAAAGACAAGCACAAAGACAGAGAACCTGTGGAGCTGATAGTCTGTGCTTTTTTTTTTTTTTTGAGACAGAGTCTTGCTCTGTTGCCCAGGCTGGAGTGCAGTGGCACGATCTTGGCTCACTGCTACCTCTACCTCCTGGGTTCAAGCGATTCTCTGGCCTTAGCCTCCTGAGTAGCTGGGACTATAGGTACCCGCCACCATGCCTGGCTAATTTTTGTATTTTTAGTAGAGACAGGGATTCACCATTTTGGCAAGGCTGATCTCGAACTCCTGATCTCGTGATCCGTCCGCCTCGGCATCCCAAAGTGCTGGGGTTACAGGCATGAGCCACCACGCCCAGCGGATAGTCTGTGCTTTAATTATGATTGCAGGGTTGGAGATAGTGTGGAAATCTTTGCAAGAAGGACTTGACATAGAGTAGAGAGAGAGAAATTATCTGGTGCTATAGTGTGAATTTTTTATAGAGTAAAAAGTTTTAGTGTAATGTTTTCTTCTATTAGAAATGTGCCAAAACAGCCCAATGGAACAACTGACATTCTAGTATCATTTAGATGTCTTAATTTGATAAAATAGAATTTGCCAGAATTTATAGTTCCATTAGGATATGAAATTTGTGGGTTTGGGGCATTTTTTGTCAGTTTCTTTGTTTAGTTTTTTGGTTTTTTTGAGAAGATGTTTTAATCATGCCTCATAAGTTATTGCTGTGTGACCTTGGACAAGTTCCTTAACCTCTGCGTGAGTTAGTTGCTTCAGCTATAAAGCAGGATAATAATTGTACCTATTTTATAAGGCTTTTGTGCTTAGAATAGTACCTGCAACATAGTAAGCATTGTGTATTAGTTATTATTATGTATAATATCGTATTCTTTTATAACTTTTATTTTTTTCTTAGCAACACTTCTTTTACATTGTAAAATGTCTGTTTTTAAGGGAAGGCAGGGGCCGGGCGCAGTGGCTCAAGCCTGTAATCCCAGCACTTTGGGAGGCCGAGATGGGCGGATCACGAGGTCAGGAGATCGAGACCATCCTGGCTAACACGGTGAAACCCCGTCTCTACTAAAAAATACAAAAAACTAGCCGGGCGCGGTGGCGGGCGCCTGTAGTCCCAGCTACTCAGGAGGCTGAGGCAGGGGAATGGCGTGAACCCGGGAGGCGGAGCTTGCAGTGAGCTGAGATCTGGCCACTGCACTCCAGCCTGGGCAGCAGAGCGAGACTCCGTCTCAAAAAAAAAAAAAAAAAAAAAAAGGGAAGGCAGGGTAGAAGTTTTTTTTTTAACTTTTAAGTTCAGGGGTACATGTGCAGGATGTATGGAGTTGTTACATAGGTAAACATGTGTCATGGGAGTTTGTTGTACAGATTATTTCATCACCTAGATATTCAGCCTGGTATCCATTAGGCTAATGATTAGGTGATGATGGTACCTAGTTTTTTAATTTGTTGAGCACACAATTCTTGATGACTTGGAGCTCTTTCCAAATGGACTAGACTACCAAGTAGTTCAAAAGTATTTGTTTCAGATTATTAATAATGGAATTGGATTTTGTCACAGTCACAATGTAAGTCTTGGGTTTAAAGAATTGTCAGTCATTGACTATCCAGATTTTTCCTGGTCCTTTCCCTTCTCCCACCCTTTGCCCTCCGGTAGGCCCCAGTGTGTGTTGTTCCCCTCTATGTGCCCTCATCATTTGGCTCCCACTTATAAGTGACAACATGTGGTATTTGGTTTTCTGTTCCTGTTAGTTTGCTGAGGATAATGGCTTCCAACTCCATCCATGTCCCTGCAAAGGACATGACCTCATTCTTTTTTATGGCTGCATAATATTCCATGATGTATATGTATAACTCTTTTAAAAATATTTTTCTATATGATCTCTGAATTCCTTTTTTTTTTTTTTTTTTTTTTTTGAGATGGAGTCTTACTCTGTCACCCAGGCTGGAGTGCAGTGGTGCGATCTCGGCTCACTGCAACCTCCGCTTCCTGGGTTCAAGTGATTCACCTGCCTCAACCTCCTTAGAAGCTGTGATTACTTCATTGATATCACTTCATTACTTCATGGTGGTAGACAGGCATGCCACCACGCCTAATTTTTTTGTATTTTTGGTAGAGATGGGGTTTTGCCATGTTGGCCAGGCTGGTCTTGAACTCCTGACCTCAGGTGATCCACCTGCCTCAGCCTCCCAAAGTGCTGGGATTACAGCCATGAGCCACTGTGCCTGGCCCCTGAATTCCTTATATTATGTTTATATTTATATTGGATGTGTTTCCTTGGTAACCTTTTTTTATTTTTTAATTTTTTAAGAGACAGAGTCTCACTCTGTCACCCAGGCTGGAATGCAGTGGCATGATCATAGCTTATTGCAGCCTCCAATTCCTGGCCTCAAGCTATTGATTACAGGCATGAGCTACCATGCCTAGCTGTATTGCTTACCTTAATAACTATAGTGTTAAATAACATAGTTACTTCTTTGTAAAGTAATTATTATATTTCTAGTTCCTTTTCTCTCCCATTCACCTACCATCTGATTTCAGAAAATATCTTATTTACTTTAGTGTTTTGTTTTTTCATTTTCTTTCAAGATAAGGTCTTGCTGTATTGCTCAGGCTGAAGTGCAGTGGCATGATCATAGCTCACCACACTCATTGCAGCCTCCAACTCCTGAGTTCAAGTGATTCTCCCACATTAGCCTCCCGAGTAGCTGGGACTAGAGGTGTGCCCAACCATACCAGCCTAAGTTTTAAAGTTTTTTGTAAAGATGGGGTCTCGCTATGCACAGGCTGGTCTCAAATTCCTGGCCTCAAGCGATTCTCTTGCTTTGTCCTCCCAAGTCACTGGGATTACAGGTGCGAGCCACTGCACCTGGTGTATATATACACTTTTATCTTGTTTACATCTTCTATATCATTTGTGCATTGTTGCATTTAAAATGTTCACTTTCTATTTTGTAACCATGATGCCCACATTTGTATAAGATTTAGTCCTGCCTTAAATAGATTCAATGCTCATGTTGTCTTTTATCTGAATGACAATTTGGTTGAGTATAACGTTCCTGGATTATACTTGGATTTTCTTGAGGATTTTGAGAGCTGTATTCTGTATTCCATTGATTTCTTTCCCTTTAAAGGTGGCAACATTTTTTTCTGGTGAGTGTTAATCTACCATTTGTGTTTCTTTCTCCCTTCTTCCTCATTTCTTACATCTTTGAATAGATCCTTGATTGGTTCCTTTTAGATTGTTTCTTATAATAAAGTCTGAGTCTTTGGAGGACTATTTGTAGGAGGTTCTGGGGAAAGGCCATGACTTCGTTCCAGGCTAGCAGGAATTTACCATAATTCACAATGGTGTTCCTTATCACATATGCCTGAGTGTGGGATTTAATTATATTAGGTTTAATTTCTCTAAAACTTGCAGTTGCAGGTTTGTTCGTAACGAATTGTTTTGCCTTCTACTCTGCCTCACTGAGAGACTATTTCCAGCAAATGTGTTTCTGTGTGATTCCTTATCCAGCCCTTCCCCACTGCTGTTTCTTGGTGCCATTCAGTTCTAGGGATGTTTTCACTGCTGTCTATGAGCCTTATTTCCATTATACATACATACATATATATATAGTTTTCCATTATATTAAAGGAGGACTTTTTTGTCTTTTCAGGGTACGTCACTGGCTTCAGAGAACTCTTACGCTGCCAGTTTTGTAGCCACAGATGATCTTTTGGTGTCTTCCTATACTTCTGTTTGACCTTTATTACATTTAGTAGTCCCATCTCATTTATTATGAGTAGGAGGTCATAGATTCCTGTTAGTTTAATCAAAGATGGAGTTACACTTCTTTTTCTTATTAGCTTGATTTTGTTCTCTGAGAGGAGAAAGGAGCAATATAGTCTCTCAATTGTAGTTTAAAAACCAGAATATGCTTTTACAATTTATACTGTATATGCATTTTATTTATGTTTTTATTATGCTGAGATCTATTTTAAATAATTAATTGCTAATAATTTGATCTTAGTTTATATAAACTATTTTGCATTTTAAAATAACAGCTATTTTGCATTTTTTAATAACAGCAACTGAGGCATGAAAACTTGGTGAATCTCTTGGAAGTGTGTAAGAAAAAAAAACGATGGTACCTAGTCTTTGAATTTGTTGACCACACAATTCTTGACGACTTGGAGCTCTTTCCAAATGGACTAGACTACCAAGTAGTTCAAAAGTATTTGTTTCAGATTATTAATGGAATTGGATTTTGTCACAGTCACAATGTAAGTATTGGGTTTAAATAATTTGCTTTATCACATATTTATTCATTAATTAATCCTTTAATCTGTCTTATTGATTTATGCATTTGAAAATAAGTTTCAGAAAGTCAGTATACTTTAACACTAAATACTTCATCTGTGCATCTTATTAATTGGAGTTAAATATTTGTTTTCTGGGTTTTTTTTGTTTGTTTGTTTTGTTTTTTTCCGAGATGGAGTCTTGCTCTTTTGCCCAGGCTGTAGCTCAGTGGCAAGATCTCAGCTCACTGCAACTTCTGCCCCCCAGGTTCAAGTGATTCTCCTGCCTCAGCCTCTCAAGTAGCTGGGATTACAGGCATGTACCACCACGCCCGGCTAATTTTTGTATTCTTAGTAGAGATGGGGTTTCACAATGTTGTCCAGGCTGGTCTCAAAACTCCCAACCTCAGGTGATCCACCTGCCTTGGCCTCCTAAAGTGCTGGAATTACAGGCGTGAGCCACTGTGCCTGTCCCTGTTTTCTGTTCTTTTTTAAGGTAATATTTACTAAGTGAAATGCACAAATTTTAAGTGATGAATCTTGAGAAATGTATAGACCCAAGGATCTGTGTGTTTGTTAGTTTGTGTTCTCTTGCCTAATTACAAAGTGTGAATATATGAAAATTTCTATCCTTACCCTGTAGTCTATCACAATAATTTTATATACTTTGAGTATCATATAAAAGCACCTCCAAGAAGAATGACACCTATAAAGTATAAATGAATAGCTCAACACATAGATTTTGCCAGTTTTACAAAATATTTTAAATGACATTTTTTTGTGTGGTTATAAAAGTAATAAATATTAATGGTAGAAAAACTTAAAACTAAAGATAATTATAAAAGAAAGAAAAAATCATTTTACGTACCTGCCACCTAAATTGATTTTCGGTTATTAGTATTATTCACTGTCTTTAATTTTTTAACTGTCTTTTATTGTGTAGTTTCGTTATGTTATTCAGTTATAGTGTGAAGTCTACATATATAAAAAAATTGCTTAGTAGAGGCAGATACCTAGTTTCCACTGGAAAACACACTGCCCTTTTTTAGGAGGCCTTCCATCGTGGCCTCCTGGCAACTTTGGAATGATACAGGCTCAGAAAATCTATTCTGAGAAACCTAATTTTGAGACTATCTGTCTCTTAGGGCAGACTCACATTGACCAAACTCAGGAGACTGAATGCCAGTTTAGTAAATTGCAAAGAGAGATAATTGTTACAGGGGTGAAATATATAAAGTAGAATAACAATAATGTTGAATTTGCAAGAAATCAGATCAGCATGAGGTGTTAGTGAATTAAATACTTAATGTATCAGTTTAAAAGATACTGATTCATCCTTCTTCATAAAAATGATGATATCTTCCCAATGGGCCTGTAATATTTGGAGTTAGGTGGCTGAATGCCCTACATTCATCTCTGTACTAAGGATAGGCTTGCCAGTGGAACCAGTAAGCAAAAAGAACCATTGTCTCTCTCACGTTAGAAGCTCATTTGAATGTGTCCTGCCTCCATTGCTTCTGTGTCCCTTTATTTTTATACTTTCATGATGAATCAACCCACGTTTAACATAACACATTCTACCTTTAGATGTACAGATACATCCAGGCAGTTTAGAGTCAAGTACTGCTGGCATGGGTGCCATTCCGTGTTTAAGGGAAGAGATTTTAGGCCGGGCATGGTGGCTCATGCCTGTAATCCTAGCACTTTGTGGGGCCGAGGTGGTCTGATCCCTTAAGGTCAGGAGTTTGAAACCAGCCTGGTCAACATGGTGAAATCCCCATCTCTACTAAAAATACAAAAAAATTAGCTGGGCATGGTGGCAGGCACCTGTAATCCCAGCTACTTGGGAGGCTGAGGCAGGAGAATTGCTTGGACCCAGGAAGCAGAGGTTGCAGTGAGCTGAGATCGTGCCACTGCCTTCCAGCTTGGGCAATACAGCGCGACTCCGTCTCAAAAAAAAAAAAAGGAGATTGTAAAATCCAGTGTTTCTCCAGGCGTGATGGCTCACGCCTGTAATTCCAGCAATTTGGAAGGCTGAGGCAGGCGGATCACCTGAGGCAGGAGTTTGAGACCAGCCTGGCCAAGATGGAGAAACCCCATCCCTACTAAAAATACAAAATTAGCTGGGTGTGGTGGGACATGCCTGTAATCCCAGCTACTCGGAAGGCTGAGGCAGGAGAATCGCTTGAACCTGGGAGGCAGAGGTTGTGGTAAGCTGAGGTTGTGCCATTGCACTCCAGCCTGGGCAACAAGAGCAAAACTCCATCTCAAAAAAAAAAAAAAAAAAATTCCAGTGGTTCCCTGCTAAGCTTCAGAGCATTTACATATCTCTTTAAACTATAGAAAATGTGAATTTTTATGGGTAAACTGATCTCACTCTAATTTATAAACACTTGTCTCAAGGGAACATTAGTGTTATTAAATGTTGCCTGGCAGTCATATTACTTTTTTTCTAGTCCATTTACTCTTTTTTTTTTTTTGAGACAGAGTCTCACTCTGTCACCCATGCTGGAGTGACACGATCTTGGCTCACTGCAACCTCTGCCTCCTGGGTTCAAGCGGTTCTCCTGCCTCAGCCTCTCAAGTAGCTGGGATTACAGGTGTGCACCACCACACCTGGCTAAGTTTTGTATTTTTAGTAGAGATGGGGTTTCGCCATGTTGGCCAGGCTGGTCTTGAACTTCTGGCCTCAAGTGATCGGCTCACCTCGGCCTCCCAAAGTGCTGGCATTACAGGCATGAGCCACTGTGCTCAGCCTCCATTTACTCTTAAACTCTTCGTAGCACCTATCCTTAGGGTTATTGTGAGAATAAAATAAGTTAAAACATGAGAAACATTTAGAATAGTGCCTGACACATAAGTATTCAAGTGTTAGCTATTATTACCATTATTATTGAAGGTATATTTTAAGGTTTTGTTTTCTGGGCAGTTAACATTTCTCTTCTTAATGCAGACAGATAATAATGGTAGGGGCTGGAATAAATAAACACACAAATATATACATACATACATACATATGTAAACACATATACATACACATAAGGATGAGATACTTGACTTTAAGAAAATGAAAACATTTATTCTCAAATATATTACTCATTTTTTAATGTATCTATATATGTGAACACTTGAATTTTTAAAAATATAAATATTATTTTAATCCTTTTATGAGCCAGACTGAATAACATATTTAAAACCAAATTTAAGGTTTCTGTCAATTCAAGTTTGACCCAAATAGTACAGAACATTATAAGGTTTGTAGAACCCTAAACGCCTTTTTTACTGAAATTACTAGGTATCATAATTTATTTAGGTTATACCTAGTATTAAAGACCCATATCAGAGCCTACCCTTTTCATAGTACTTTTTCTGGCCACCCCAGTCTGCAATGATGGATTTTAGGAAAAATTCAACTCATATCATCTTGGTTATACTTAGAATCTATTGTTGTTACCGTAAGTTATAAGGTATTAGAGTTGGGAAGAAACATGGTGATCATGCACTTTAGCCCCCTCATTTGTGGGCTGAGAAGATAGAAAGATTGAGTTGTCTATGGCTGTACTGAAAACCAGGGACTAGACCCAGGTCTCCCAACTCCCAGTTTAGCTCTTTCTTTTTTTCTTTTTTTTTTTTTTTTTTTTTTGAGATGGAGTCTCACTCTGTTGCCTAGGATGGAGTGCAGTGGCATGATCTCGGCTCACTGCAAGCTCCGCCTCCCAGGTTCACGCCATTCTCCCTGCCTCAGCTTCCTGAGTAGCTGGGACTACAGGCACCCACCACCACGCCAGGCTAATTTTTTGTATTTTTAGTAGAGACGGGGTTTCACTGTGTTAGCCAAGATGGTCTCGATCTCCTGACCTCATGATCCACCCACCTCGGTCTCCCAAAGTGCTGGGATTACAAGTGTGAGTCACCGTGCCTGGACCGTTTAGCTTTCTCTATCACAGCACAGATGGTCTGAGACTGGACCTGTGTCCTCATCACTGATATCTAGGGTAATAAAAGTTGGTAGCCTGTACAACATGCTCAGCAATGGCAGATTGCCATTTAGAATGCTGGTCTTCTGAAAGAGTTTAAAACAAATCTATCTTTTGTAGTTTTCAAAATACGATTTGCTTATATTAGAGAATTAGGCCTAATAATGTCTTTTGCGTAGCTGTAGATTTTTAAATATATATATATTTTTTCAGATGGTGGCTCTGTCACCCAGGCTGGAGTGCAATGGCGCAATCTCGGCTTACTGCAACCTTCTCCCTCCCAGGTTCAAGCGATTCTCCTGCCTGAGCCTCCAAAGTATCTGGGATTACAGGTGCCTGCCACCGCGCCTGGCTAATTTTTGTATTTTGACTAGAGACGAAGTTTCACCATGTTGGCCAGGCTGGTCTCAAACTCCTGACCTCAAGTGATCTGCCTGCCTTGGCCTCCCAAAGTGTTGGGATTACAGGCGTGAGCCACTGCGCCCGGCCTATTGATTTTTGATTTATTGTATTTCTAAGCTGCATTTCCTCTTTCCCATTCCTCTGAGCACCAACCTAGTTTAGGCCTTTGTCACCTCATACTGGTACCACTGCTCTTCTTCCTGCCTCTCATCTTTCTCTCTGATTTAGCTCATTTATGGCCAACATCAATTTTAAATACCACATTGTCTGTCACTTCCATGGGTTCCCAGGGTCTTGCCACACTTCCTAGTATGTCAGCTGAGATATTCCTCCTCCACTTCACACAACCTGTACTCTAGAAAAAAACGTTTTCTGGCCAGGCACAGTGGCTCACGCCTGTAATCTCAGCACTTTGGGAGGCCGAGGCAGGTGGATCACCTGAGGTCAGGAGTTTGAGACCATCCTGGCCCAACATGGTGAAACCCCGTCTCTACTAAAAGTACAAAAATTAGCTGGGCATGGTGGCAGGAGCCTGTAATCCCAGCTACTCGAGAGGCTGAGACAGAAGAATCGCTTGAACCCAGGAGGCGGAGGTTGCAGTGAGCCGAAATCGCGCCTTTGTACTCCAGCCTGGGCAACAAGAGCAAGACTCTGTCTTTAAAAAAAAAAAGTTTTCCCACAATCTCTTATCTATCCCCATTTACATTCTTGCTCTCTTTGTTACATTCGCTTGGGTTGCCCTTCTTTTTCTTTATTTATCTAGGTCATACTTAGTGTTAAAGACCTATGTTAGAGCCCAACCCCTGCATAAAAATTATCCCTGACTGCCCCAGCTTCAATGATAGCCTTACTCTCTTAGTCTTGAGAGGAGTCATTAACTGAACAGTTGATTTAGTAATTTGAAAAAATATATTTTATCCAATATTTTTGATTGTTTAAATAAAATTTCAAGTATAAATGTTCTTTCTTGCCCAACTAGGTCCTAGGTTGTTTAGGGCTAGGAGCAACTTTCTATGCTTTTGTTTGTATTCTTTAGAGGGACAAGATACAATGCCCTGCACAGAGCAGGTGCCCCAAAATAATTAATTTTATTTAACATCTGTCACACTCTGCTTCTTGTCTAGATCATACACAGAGATATAAAGCCAGAGAATATATTAGTCTCCCAGTCTGGCGTTGTCAAGCTATGCGATTTTGGATTTGCGCGAACATTGGCAGCTCCTGGGGAGGTTTATACTGATTATGTGGCAACCCGATGGTACAGAGCTCCAGAACTATTGGTTGGTGACGTCAAGTATGGCAAGTAAGACAGCAGTAAAGGGGAGGAGTAGATTTTTACTCTTGCTTCTTGCTACAGTGGAATATGTTTATGATATAATAAATGATCTCTCTAATACTGAAAGTAAGGCTTGAGTTTCAGGGGCTGTATAAAGTGATTTGTAATCATTTTTGGTGCTTCCCCTTTAAACATTCCTGTGAAACAAGTATACTTGTTTTAGAGATGGGGAAATTAAGTGGTCCATTTTATACAGTGGATTGTAAATAGATACATTTATCACTTGTAAATAGAGGTGAACATTGATTGGTTAAATGTGACATTGTTGGAATAGGGAAGATGGAGTAAGCAAGGGTGGAGGCAGAAATATAACTAAGTAAAATGTTTTTAAAACATAAATTGTCTTCACAAGGGAATTCTTCAAAGAAGAAAGGATTGTAGCTTTTACTGCTTTTGATTGAAATCTTTCTAAAATATTTTCTACAATTTCTGTTTTCAGAGCAGACTACACATTATTTATTATTTTCTTGATTACTGAGTTCTTATTTTGCTACCATGTTATAATTTTTGTGCCATTTTATAATTCAGCAATAACCTTAAGCATTTTAAGGTAGTTGTTCCTATATCAAATGATGCTTGCGTATTCTTTGAGTTCTTGTAACTGATTTTTAAGATCGTTTCAAATTTTTTATACCTAGGCTGGGCGTGGTGGCTCATGCCTTTAATCCCAGCACTTTGGGAGGCCCAGGTGGGCGGATCATGAGGTCAGGAGTTCAAGACCAGCCTGACCAACATGGTAACACCCCGTCTCTACTAAAAATACAAAAATTAGTCAGGCATGGTGGCATGCACCCGTAATCCCAGCTACTCGGGAGTCTGGGGCAGGAGAATCGCTTGAACCTGGGAGGTGGAGGTTGCAGTGAGCTGAGATTGCACCACTGCACTCCAGCCTGGGTGACAGAGTGAGATTCTGTCTCAAAAAAAAAAAAAAAAAAAAAAAAATTTATCCCTATCAGCCTTCAGTTCTCTTCATTGTTACTGTATTTATCCTTAGCAGCCACCTCCTCTTTCTGGTATACTGTTTTCAGTGTACCATGGCATAGCATGGATTGGTCAAGCTTGCTAGAGTTATGTGTAAACAAAGAATGAATAGGCCCTAAATGGAGCCTGAGAGTCTTATTTCCAGAATAAAGTATACATAATAACTGTTTTGGCTTTTCAGAAGGCATTTCCTTTTTATGTCACATGATTGAAGTTTCTGGAAAGCTCACTTATGCAAAATTGGGAGTTAGAACTTTAATAGGGAAATATCTTTTCATGGGTAATTTAAGACTTACTGTAGGTTGAGTATTCCTTATCCTAAATGCTTGGGACCAGAAGTGTTGCAGATTTCAGATTTTTTTTTTTTTTGGATTTTGGGATATTTGCATTATACCATTGGAGCATGCCAAATCTGAGAATCTGAAATCTGAAATGCTCTCCTTGGCGTTTCCTTTGAGCATCACCTCAGTGCTCAAAAAGTTTTGGGTTTTGGAGCATATTAGGATGCCAGATTTTACACCACATTGCTTTTTTTTTTTCAGGGCTGTTGATGTGTGGGCCATTGGTTGTCTGGTAACTGAAATGTTCATGGGGGAACCCCTATTTCCTGGAGATTCTGATATTGATCAGCTATATCATATTATGATGTGTTTAGGTAAGGTTACACATCTGTGTTTTAAATTTTAGAGATTTTTCTGCATATTCATTTGTGCATGTGTGTTTGTGATTTTTTAAGCTGTTGCATTAAAGATTATATATGTTTTAAGTGAAGGTAGGGAGCATATAGGAAAACTGTGTGTGTGTGTGTGTGTGTGTGTGTGTTTTGAGATGGAGTTTCGCTGTCCTTGCCCAGGCTGGAGTGCAGTGGTGCAATCTCGGCTCACTGCAACCTCCGCCTCCCGGGTTCAAGTGATTCTCCTGCCTCAGCCTCCCGAGTAGCTGGGATTACAGGCGTGCACCACCATGCCTGGCTAATTTTATATTTTTAGTAGAGATGGGGCTTCTCTGCGTTGGTCAGTCTGGACTCGAACTCCTGACATCAGGTGATCTGCCCACCTTGGCCTCCCAAAGTGCTGGGATTACAGGCATGAGCCACCATGCCTGGCCCTGATGCATGTTCTTAATCACACTACCTCCCCTTTCACCTCAACAAAGAGGAAAAGAGCAGAAGTTGTGCATTTCTCTGCACTTTTACATACAGTTAATTACATGTAGAGAGGACGCAATGATCATTTATTATTCTTGAGTCAGTAAGCATTTGGTGTAATATGACTACTGTCCTTACTTTCCATTCAAGAGGAGGGACAGAGATTTCCAGGGTTGGTTTAATCTTACCACAGATTTGGACTTTTGCTGTTAGTGCTTTTGACAGAATTTCAAAGCTGGACTATCAAAATCTTACGTTTGTTGAAATATCAACTTCATGTTTGAAGATGGAGCTTAGAAATGGAAATAATGGGAAAATATTTGGGGTAATTCAACTATTTGATTTGAAGTTTTCAGGTTAGAAATTAAATAAGCAGTACAATGGTTTCTTACAGTGGAATTTTCAGATATGTTTTATATTCAACTAGATATTAAAGTTGAGAAAAAAGATAAAGTGCTCAAATCTGACTTTAAGATAAGCACAAAATCAGTTGACCAAATATTAAATTCTTAAAGGGGTAGAACTGATTTATCTAGATTATATCCTGTCCATATGACTATTAATATTTTTATTGTTTTGTTCAGCACTTTATGCTTTGTAGTTAGAAACGAAGTGCTGGTACTTATATCTGGAAAGTTATAAAATATTTTTTACCTGTCCTTTTCCTATGCTCCTTAAGACTTCCATGTACCACCACAGTAACAGCATTGTCCTTGGTCAATTTTGCATGTTGACAGAGCCCCAAACTCCATAAGCTGTGTTCCACTATTTCCTCTACTTCACACCACACGTCTCTTCACCACTTCTGTCATGTTGTATAATAACAGAGATATGTGCTGTTTTCACTTCCAGGTAATCTAATTCCAAGACATCAGGAGCTTTTTTATAAAAATCCCGTGTTTGCTGGAGTAAGGTTGCCTGAAATCAAGGAAAGAGAACCTCTTGAAAGACGCTATCCTAAGCTCTCTGAAGTGGTGATAGATTTAGCAAAGGTAATCATACTTATTGTTTATACTTTATGACAGGGAATTTATGCACTATCAAGACTTATTTTTTCTTTTTTTCCTTGTCTAGTTGATCTTTTATTTTATTTTATTTTATTTTATTTTATTTTATTTTATTTTTTTGAGGCGGAGTCTCGCTGGTCGCCGAGGCTGGAATGCAGTGGCGCGGTATCGGTTCACTGGAAGCTCCGCCTCCCGGGTTCACGCCATTCTCCTGCCTCAGCCTCCGGCGTAGCCGGGACTACAGGCGCCCGCCACCAAGCACGGCTAATTTTTTGTATTTTTAGTAGAGACGGGGTTTCACCGTGTTAGCCAGGATGGTCTCCATCTCCTGACCTCGTGATCCGCCCGCCTCGGCCTCCCAAAGTGCTGGGATTACAGGCTTGAGCCACTGCGCCCGGCTTTTTTTTTTTTTTTTTTTTTGAGACGGAGTCTCGCTCTGTCACCCAGGCTGGAGTGCAGTGGCCGGATCTCAGCTCACTGCAAGCTCCGCCTCCCGGGTTCACGCCATTCTCCTGCCTCAGCCTCCCGAGTAGCTGGGACTACAGGCGCCCGCCACCGCGCCCGGCTAGTTTTTTGTATTTTTTAGTAGAGACGGGGTTTCACGGTGTTCGCCAGGATGGTCTCGATCTCCTGAGCTCGTGATCCGCCCGTCTCGGCCTCCCAAAGTGCTGGGATTACAGGCTTGAGCCACCGCGCCCGGCCTGGCTTTTTTTTTTTTTTGAGACGGAGTCTCACTCTGTCACCCAGGCTAGAATGCAGTGGTGCGATCTCGGCTCACTGCAAGCTCTGCCTCCTGAGTTCAGGCCATTCTCCTGCCTCAGCCTCCCGAGTAGCTAGGACTACAGGCGCCCACCACCACGCCTGGCTAATTTTTTTTATTTTTAATAGAGACGGGGTTTCACTGTATAGCCAGGATGGTCTTGATCTCCTGACCTCGTGATCCGCCCACCTCAGCCTCCCAAGCTGGGATTACAGGCATGAGCCACCATGCCTGGCCTCTAGTTGATCTTTTAGGTCAACAATTTCCTGTAATGATTTTAATTTTTGTACATTTAGAAAAAAATTAAATAATTTGATGGGGGTAACTTCAGAGAAAAAGGACTGAAAATTTTACCTGTTTTAAAACTCATTAAGAAACCATTTATTGTTATGTAGCATTTTGTAAATGTGAAAACATCCTCATTGAAAAACATACTAAAAACATAAAAACACTGTATGATTTTAACGTTTAACATTTAAAATACAAGCCTTGTGTAAATGGAAAAGAAAATAAAAGTAGGATAAGAAAATAAAAAGGGGTTGGGCACGGTAGCTCAAGCCTGTAATCCCAGCACTGTGGGAGGCTAAGGTGGGTGGATCACTTGAGGTCAGGAGTTCGAGACCAGCCTGGCCAACATGGTGAAACCCCATCTCTACTAAAAATACAAAAAAATTAGCTGGGCGTGGTGGCGTACATCTGTAATCCCAGCTACTCGGGATGCTGAGGCAGAAGAATCACTTGAACCCAGGAGACAGAGGTTACAGTGAGCTGAGATAGCGCCACTGCACTCCATCCTCGGCGACAGAGTGAATCTCTCTCTCTCTCTAAATAAATAAATAACGGTTAGAGAAGCAGGAAAATATTAAAATGTAGGGCATAGGATGGCTGGGCGCGGTGGCTCACACCTGTAATCCCAGCACTTTGGGAGGCCAAGGCATGTGGATCACAAGGTCAGGAGTTCAAGACCAGCCTGGCCAAGATGGTGAAACCCCATCTCTACTAAAAATACAAAAATTAGCTAGGTGTGGTGGCATGTGCCTGTAACCCCAGCTACTCGGGAGGCTGAGGCAGACAATTGCTTGAACCTGGAATGTGGAGGTTTCAGTGAGCTGAGATTACACTACTGCACTCCAGCCTGGGCAACAGAGCGAGACTCTGTCTCAAAATAAATAAATAAATAAATAAAATGTAGGGCATAGGATCATGATCTGTATGGTATTGTCAAAGGGGTATTTGCTTAGCCACTGGATTGGCTGCAGCCAGTTTACAAATGGCCAATACTTTTTTGTTGTATTTGATTAAGGAAGATGTTAGAGGTTTTCATTCTATCAAGTAAGAATCTACTCTAAAAGTTGACCTTTTTGGGGAATTATTAGCTCAAAAAGTTCTCATTAGTTAAGATTGTTTAAAGTATTGATAAAATATGTACCTCTAAAACACTAGGCTATAACATTTACCCATTTTTTTTTTAATTCTTTAACTCATGAAGTTTAATAAGCTTATAACTAATTATAACAAGTTCTTAGAATAATACATTTCCAGTTTGTTACATAATCTTTTAACAGATGCAAATATTTTTAATTGGTACAAGCTTTATAATCTTGTAAGGAGATACAAGGGAATAAAGGTAAAACTATTGTCCAACTTGTGTACCTTGATCATACCTTAAAGAATCATATAAAACTTTGAAAATATTTTATTATGGAAAATTTCAAACAGAAAAGAAAATAGAAAGAATAGTTGTATAACAAACCTTCATGTACTTGTCATCTAGTTTCCACAATTATCAACCTTTTGATAATCTTGTTTAATTTATCTACACTTTTCAGCTTTTTTTGGAGCATTTTGAAGCAAATCGCAGACATGTTATTTTACTTATAAAAGAAGCACAGTTATGCGGAGAACTTTTCTTGTTCATTTAAAGCTACTTATTGAGCCCCTTCTATTTTTACTGGCATTTTAGGGGCTTTAATGAATCAGAACAAGACTTTGCAATAAAATAAAATAAAATAATCTTTGTAAAGCATCTAGCATAGTGATAAGTACAGGGTAAATCCTTTCCATTCTGTAATAGCCTTAAGTTTTGAAAATTCCAATTAATTTCTTACCATCATAAAATATCTAATTGATGTTTAAAGTTTCATTAATTTCCACAAAATTTCATTTCATAGTTTGAATTAGGATCTAAATGAAGACTATAGATTGCAATTGGTTGGTATGTTTTTAAAACTTTATTTATAAGCTTCTCTTCATCTCTTTCTTTTTTGTTTAAACCTTGCAATTATTTGTTGAAGAAACTAAGTCATTTGTCCTTAGAATTTTCTACATAATGTGGTATACATGTTCCTCTGTGTCCTGTATTTCTTATAAACTCACAGTAGAGCTAGAACTTGAACAGAATCAGGTTGATTTTTTGGCAGCACTACTTCATAGGAGGTTTGCGTATTTCCATATAGAGACACTGAATGTTTGGTGGTCTTTTTGTGATACTAGCAACCATTGATGGTCATTGTCTAGATTTGTGCTTTGTTCTTTATCCTTGATTATAGATGCATAAAGTACATTGGTGTGCAAGTGTGGTGGATTGTGCTGGTAATCCCAGCATTTTGGGAAGCTGAGGAGGGTGGATAGCTTGAGCCCAGGAGTTCGAGACCAGCTTGGGCAACATGGCAAAACCCTGTCTCTACAAAAAATACAAAAATTAGCTGGGTGTGGTGGTGCATACCTGTGGTTCCAGCTACTCAGGAGACTGAGGTGGAAGGATCATCTGAGCATAGAGAGGTCATGGCTGCGGTTGAGTAGCGATCACACCAGCCTGGGTGACAGAGTGAGACCCTGTCTTAAAAAAAAAAAGAAAAAAATCATTGACTATAAAGAGGAATTTTTTTCATATTTATAAATTTAAATGTAGGTAGTTTTTCTTTGATATGAACTCTAGGTGTTCTTAATTTTTCAGAAATGCTTACATATTGACCCTGACAAAAGACCCTTCTGTTCTGAGCTCCTACACCATGATTTCTTTCAAATGGATGGATTTGCTGAGAGGTATAGTACTTACCCATGTTTTTCAGGCCATACCAACCTAGGGTTAAAGTAAGTCTTCCACAATAGTCACAGTCTTCCACAATAGCACTTCTCTTATTTCTGTTCCCACCTACTTTGCAGGATCTCAGATATCTACCACCCTACCCCCATATTCCCTTAGCAATAATGCAGTTCCTAGGGGTGGTCTCCTACATTTACTAAATTAGTGCTCTTGGTTTTCATGAAGCAGTCACTTTAAGCTCTTCTTTCTGTCTCCCTGTGGTGACATCTACCAGTTAGGTCATTGATTTCTATGTTGCTACCAACTGTGTGATGCCATCATCTTAGATGCTGATGTAGTTATAAAAGTGCCATCTTCTGTTGCTGCCAAACTCATATCACACCAAGTGCTTTGATACTGCTGACACTGCTGATGTGTTGGAGACACAGTGAAGCTGACAAAACACAGAATAGTGAGATGAGTGGCAGTAACGTGTAGCTTAATAAAAGATAGCTAGGTCTTCCTAATTGCTTCTGTATTCAATTAGTTGTGATATGTTGTTTTTGTGGAAGTATATGAAGAAACTCTGGACTCACGTAAGTAGATAATAGTGGGCATGCTTTGATTCTATACCAAAACTCTGATACCATAGCAAAACTTGACAGTTGTAGTGTCTTTTTTTTTTTTTTTTTTTGAGATGGAGTTTCGCTCTTGTTGCCCAGGCTGGAGTGCACTGGTGCGATCTTGGCTCACTGCAACCTCTACCTCCTGGGTTCAAGCGATTATCTTGCCTCAGCCTCCCAAGTAGCTGGGATTACTAGCATGTGCCACCACAGCCGGCTAATTTTGTATTTTTAGTAAAGATGGGGTTTCTCCATGTTGGTCAGGCTGGTCTCAAAACTCCTGACCTCAGGTGATCTGTCCGCCTGGGCGTCCCAAAGTGCTGGGATTACAGGTGTGAGCCACTGTGTCCGGCCCAGTGGTAGTTTCTTAAAGGCTGGTTGCATTGTGGAATCTGAAACCATAACATTGAGTTTTTCTTCCTTTGTTAAATTTAAATCCATTGGTCTGTCCTTCCTTTTTAATGAATCTTTTACCCATGCATGCTTTTGTAATATCATGCTTTAGTGATTTGGAAAATATTAGTTTGCTGAGTTATGCAGATCTTAAAAATATTGACTTATTTCTTGTACAGCATCAAAAATTACATTCTATCTCATAAAAGTTTGTGAGTTTTGGGAAGCTGCTAAGCTCACAGTAGTGGATACAAGTTTAACAGAATTGTAATTTTTGCATACAATTTTGAATTTTATCATTGACACAGTAAGTTCAGTTTTCCTTGAAGTGACAAGATCACTTTATTTGTTAAAAGAAAATGTTTCACATAGAACCGAAGTCTTAATATTCATAGTTTTTCTGTCAGTGTTTCTTTCAAGTAAAAATATCTAGTTTAGTATCTATTTGTATCACAAATAATTACGCAAGCATTTTTCTTAAGACAACCATAGTATTTTGGTTTGTAGCAGAGGTGCTTTATGTATATTCTCATTTTGTCACACAGACGATAAAAAAAGGATGCTTTTAAGAGTTTGGCTTTAACTAAGTTAATACCTTTTTGCTGCTTCATCAGAGACATTCTTAAGCAAGATTGCCTTTTAAAAAAAAAAAAGGCCACTGAGAATGTGTGGCTATCAAGAAAGTAATGACTGCTAGTACATTTTGGTTTTGCTGCTTTGATTCTTGGTAAGGTGTCAGCAGGTTTATCCACCACTGCTTTTGTGTTAATGTGGTAAGAAAGACAAACATCTTTATGTTAAAATAATAGCATTGACTTTGTGAACCTTGTGAAGGTTCTTAGGGATCCCCAAAGATCTACACACCACCCTTTCCAAACTGCTGATCTAGGCCAGGATTTTTCTCATTTTTAATAACATAGACTAGTTTAACATTCAGTTTTAAAAAAATAAATATATTGATAGTCAATTTTTTTTTTGTAGGTTTATCCATGTCTTACAATTTTATTATATTTTTATGTAGGTTTTCCCAAGAACTACAGTTAAAAGTACAGAAAGATGCCAGAAATATTTCTTTATCTAAAAAATCCCAGAACAGAAAGAAGGAAAAAGAAAAAGATGATTCCTTAGGTGAAGAAAGAAAAACACTTGTGGTACAGGTAAATGTTCATGTTTCACATTTTAAATTTAATATACTTATTTTTTAAAATTTGTTGAGAAAAATGATAATTTTGAAAAAAGTTTTCTGAGCAGTGAGTATATTGTTAACTTTTAGTTTAGTTGCAAAAATATATCTTCTCAATAGATATTACCTGTTTAGAAAACTTAACATATCATGTTTTGAGTACCTGTTAGGTGCCAGACTGTGTAACAGTGCTTAAATCACATTCATCCAAGAACATCTAGACATGTGTTTTCATGCACACATACACGCACAGACACGTGGAACAAACAACCTTCACCCCACTTATCTTTCTTAAAGGATATGAGTGAAAAATATTGTTTGTAGAAATTTATATAAAGTAAAGCATTTGAAAAGTGAGATTTGGATACTTAACTTAGGTTTGCTTTTCCTAGTAAATTATCCAGGATCTGTTCTTGATAAGGTAATTCAAATCCACCACCAATACACTCATATGAAGTACAGCAAAAGAAGAAAGAGTTACCAGTTTTGTGTTCCCTGACTCTGAATATGTAAGAACAAAAGTGGCATTCTTGATTCCTCTTCCATGAGTTTTTCCACTGATGTGTGTGTATGTGTGTGTGTGTATGTCTGAGCGAGCTGTGTGAATTGCATTTCCATTCTTTTCGTATTTTCCCAATAACTATCTGAATAAGAATCTGGCTTTAATTTTAATCCCTTAGGTAGAATAAAGAGAACAGGTTGAAAAAGGTGATACTTATGATATTCTGCTCTAGTTGACAAGTACTTTATAAGAAGAGGTGAATTTTCGTTCTCTTCAGATCATTAACCTTATTAATATTTTTATTAATGATCAGGATACCAATGCTGATCCCAAAATTAAGGATTGTAAACTATTTAAAATAAAAGGCTCAAAAATTGATGGAGAAAAAGCTGAAAAAGGCAATAGAGCTTCAAATGCCAGCTGTCTCCATGACAGTAGGACAAGCCACATCAAAATAGTGCCTTCAACAAGCCTCAAAGACTGCAGCAATGTCAGTGTGGACCACACAAGGAATCCAGGCGTGGCAATTCCCCCGCTTATGCACAATCTTTCTGCAGTTGCTCCCGGTATTAATTCTGGAATGGGAACTGCGACTCTACCAATTCAGAGTTACAGGTATGAATTAGCAAAATAAGACCAAAAAATTGTTTAAGGATATATTTGCAAATTGCAAGGGTTTGTCAATTCATCCACATTGTTTTTATTCTCAGAATTCTGGATGCTATTCATTCTTGTCAGGTAGTTGTTTCAAAAGACTTTTTGGCTGTGTGATGAAAATTACTAGCGTTTGATCAAAACAATTCACCTAAGTCCTGAGAAAGTAGGGTTTTATTCCTTAAGGTGAAGAGAATCTACAGCTATATGCTCTAATAATGTGAAAGCAGGTTGTCATAGTAAAAGAGAATTTTGGGGTGGTTGCTGCTGCATGGTGTGACTGTGAGCCTATAGTAGTATAAGGAAGCTCTATTTGGGAATTTTGCTGAAAGGAGGGTAATGTATTTGGTAGGACTTGGGGGCTGATGGGAGGCATGAGGGTAGTGTTAAAGAATAGAATGTTTCACCAGATTTATGCGCATTGTATATTTGAGAATAGATATTACATTCTGGTTAAACTGCTTGCTAGTTGGTGCTGTGTCATTTGGTTTTGTGCTTGAAAAAATAATTATTGCTGGTTCTAACCTAAAAACATTTTTTTTTTTTTTTTTTTTGTTACAGAGTGGATGAGAAAACTAAGAAGTGTTCTATTCCATTTGTTAAACCGAACAGACATTCCCCATCAGGCATTTATAACATTAATGTGACCACATTAGTAAGTAAGCAGTTCTCAGTAGTAGAAGAGCAAACACCAGTCAGCTCTAGACTTTTATTAAAAGTAAATATGATAGTGAAGAACTGAGAATTTTATTTGGATACACATAAAGTGAAACCTTAATTGTGCATATATTATCTCAACCCGTCATAGCCATAAACGTGAAATTCTGAAAGTTTAAATAAGTTTTATAAGTCTGAAAACTCTCTTCCTTCCTTCCTTCCTTCCTTCCTTCCTTCCTTCCCTCCTTCCCTCCCTCCCTCCCTCCCTCCCTCCCTCCTACTCTCCCTGCCTCCTTCCCTCCCTCCCTTCCTTCCTTCTTTTCCTTTCTTCCTTTTTTCCACGGAGACTTGCTCTGTCGCTCAGACTACAATGCAGTGGCGTGATCTTGGCTCACTGTAACCTCCACCTCCTTGGTTTAAGCAATTCTCCTGCCTCAGCCCCTTGAGTAGCTGGGATTACAGGTGCCTGCCACCACTCCTGGCTAATTTTTGTATTTTTAGTAGAGACAGGGTTTCACCATCTTGGCCAGGCTGGTCTCGAACTCCTGACCTCGTGATCCACCTTGCCTTGGTCTCCCAAAGTGCTGGTATTACAGGCATGAGCCATCTGTGCCTGGCTTGTTTTATTTTTTCTTTAGTAACAGTAAATTTTCTCACCTTGATGATTGCTGATCAGTTCTTTTTTAGAGTAGATGAGAATATAAATTGTCTTATCTTACCCACAACAGATTTTTGGTGGCTGTATTCTATTGGCCGGAGATGGTAGCACACATCTACAATCCCAGCACTTTGGGAGGCTGAGGCGGGAGGATAGTTTGAGCCCAGGAGTTTGAGACAAGCTTGAGCAACATGGCAAGATCCTGTCTCTACAAATTTTTTTTTAAAAAATTAGCTGGGTATGGTGGCACATGACTGTAGTCCTAGCTACTTGGGAGGCTAAGATGGGTGGACCTGGAAAGTTGAGGATACAGTGGTAAACTGTGGCTGTGATTGTGCCCCAGCACCTCAGCCTAGGTAACAGACCAAGATCCTGTCTCACCAAAAAAAAAAAAAAAAGAAAAAGAAAGAAACTATTCTATTTATTTATATAATAAATATTTATCAATCATTTATTATGTGTGAGACACTGGAAATAAATAAATCTTTCTTTTCAAGGACTTCATGATCTAGAGGATCAGCAAATTAAAGCATAGTATCATATTGTATTTAGAGATAGCACAGAAAGGAGCATTATTATTCTCGGCATGGCATCCAGAATGTTTCTCTTTTAAAGTTACGTGAAACCCTCATCATTCTTCTGCTCAACATACTCCATTAGCTTCTTATCTCTGAGGAAAGGCCAAAGTCCTTACAGGGTCTATAAGTGCCTGCATGATTGACTCCACCCAGCCCTCTATCCCATCCCCACCTACTCTTTCTCCATCAATCTGTTCTACCACACTGATTTCCTTGTTATTCCTGGAACATGGTCAGACATACTCCCACCTTTGGGCTTTTGCACTTGCTATTTCTTTTGCTTTAGAATATCCTTCCCCCAGATAATCCAATGGATTTACTTTTTCTCTTCCTTAGTTCACATGAAACCTTATTGTGAAGTCTTGTAACTCATTATGCTTCCCTTTATGTTCGATGCCTTCTCCTTGCTTATTTTTTTCCATTGCATTTACCTGGCATCATCTATATACTCTTATTTATATATTGTCTGTCTCCCCCGACTAGAATGTAAGCTTCCAAGGCAGAGATTTGTGCTTTTGTTTTCCTCACTGTACTTTTCCTTCCTATGCAAGTACAAATATATATATATATTATATGTTTTTCGAGACAGAATCTCACTGTGTTGCCCAGGCTGGAGTGCAGTGGCATGATCTCAGCTCACTGCAATCTCCGCCTCCCTGATTTGAGCGATTCTCCTGCCTCAGCCTCCTGAGTAACTGGGATTACAGGCACCCACCACCACACCCAGCTAATTTTTGTATTTTTAGTAGAGGCGAGGTTTCTCCATGTTGGCCAGGCTGGTCTCAAACTCTTGACCTCAGGTGATCTGCCCACCTTGGCCTCCCAAAGTGCTGGGATTACAGGTGTGAGCCACCATGCCTGGCCTAAAATTTAAAAATGAGTTCAAACTACCAGGTTAACATATTCAAAGACTGAAAATAAAACACATAATAAGTATTTATAATAATACATTTATTCACACCTTAGAATGGGGGCATAAAACATGGGAGAGAGGTACTGACCTACAACCTACAAGTTGAAGGAAATCTAGGCTTAGCTCTGCTTGCATTAATTTTCATTAAGGAAAGACTCCACACTGAATGAATGAATGCTTTTCACAACAAAGGGAGGTATGGATGTATTCCCAAAGGAGTATTTGTGTGTGTGTGTGTGTGTGTGTGTGTGTGTGTGTGTGTGTGTGTGAGACAAATTTCCTTTCTCTACTTCTCTCACTATCTTCAGTGCTGGAAAATACAGCCTTTTCATCTCTCTCATGATTTGGACATTGTATTTATTTTTCTTTTAATTATTCTTAGTTTATAATTTCTGTGCTTATAATACTTTCTTTTTTGGTTTCTTTGTGGATATTTGTGTTTTAAAATCCTGATTTGCTTTGGAAGATTATTTTAATCAGGAAGGCTTTTCAAAATAGCTGGTTTAATACCATTTTGCCAGAACTGGTATCAACCTGCTTTCAGGTATTGCATAATCAATGCTGGCTGATAATGTTAGATCTGATTTATTCTTCTTTGGAAGAGGTAATCAAGAAAGGAGGTGAAGATTAGGAGGGCGAAGACCCAGTGGAGTCTTTCCTTAATGAAAATTAATGCAAGCAGAGCTAAGCCTAGACTGTCTTCAACTGGTATGTTAAAGATCAGTACCTCTCTCCCATGTTTTATGCCTCCATTCTGATGTGTGAATAAATATATTATTATAAATACTGATAATGTGTTTTATTTTCACACTTTGAATGTCTTAATCTGGTAGTTTAAAGTCATTTTTAAATTTTATTTTTTGTACTTGCATGTAGTTTTCTTGAACTATTTTATTTTATAGCCAACTTGAACCAATAGCCTTAGCGCTTGGAAAAGAGTAAGCAGAAACATCTAAAAGAAAGAAACGCAAAAGCTCACTGCAGGACTCGTGAAGAATTTCTGGCAGCCAGAATGGCATAAGTCACAGAATATTAAGTTTGAGGCATCAAGGAACCTCAATAACTTAATGTCATTATACATATGCTTGTGTGTATGTAGTTCATTATACATACATATGAATACAGGGTTTCTGTGATTCTCGAATGAAAAATATTGGAAAAGTGTCAAATTCATAAGGATGCAGAATTGAAGTGCTGCTGCTATTCCTCACTATTTTTTTCTGACTTTATCAACTGTGAAATAATAGTACTAAGAAAGATTAGGAAAATAATTGAAGTTATAATACTTTACTTAATAAATTGTATTCCTAGGAGGATAGTATTATATTCTTACTCTGAGGAGCAAGACAAGGACAAATATAGAAAAATGAATAACAAAATTATATTGGGAAAGTGAAAAATAAGCTAGGGGGAGATGTGATATACATGTGAAGATAAACTGTTCAAAATTTATGAAGACAACAGCAACTATTTGCTGAAAAGCCTAGGAAGTGTTGTAAGGCCCGACCTTGCTGACCTGAAGAACCAGGGCATCAATGCCCATCTTTTAACCTTTTACTACTTGCTGGAATTTACACACTGATAATTGGCAAAGGGAGAAGGAGAAACTCATAGCAATCAAGTTATCTACTTGTTAGCAATTTTAATGAATTTAATGAGGAAGACATTTGAAATAATTGGATGAAATTTTTTTCTATTATTAATGTCCTTCAATGTGTTAATTATAGACCTTCAATTTCACAAATTTTAGGATATGAGCATAGGAGTTACAAAAGAAGGAAAGCCTAGCTAACCTTGAAACTAATTCTTTTTTGTTGACTATATTGATGATATTAGGTCTCTAGTGAAAAAAGCCTCTTTCGGGCAAGTAAGAAAAGAAGGGAGTACTCCAGGACAGATGTCCATTTGCCTGAACTAAACTATAATCATCTCCCTGAACTAAGAGCATTGGAAGGCACAGGTATGTTGATAATGCTTTTACTTTGTATAGTCTGTTTAGAGTATTTAAAATGTATGTTAAATAAACAGAATTTAAAAATAAAAATTCATAGTAACTTTACATATTTAAGTATGTAAATACCTATTTTAATAAGTACATACTGAGTAACAAGTAGAGAATGTCAAAAACTAAAAACTAACAAAATGTCTAATATTTTCACTGTGTTTATGGTCATTTTTATCTAGCTCGAAATTCCAGGCTAACAAAGAAAGAGAGCAAAATTCTTTCAGAATCTCGAATTCCTTCTCTGGCCGCTATTGACCTGCACACCCCCAGTATTACATTACATCAGGTACAGAAATACTCTTTATAGGATGGACAGAACTCAGGTCTCTCTCATACTTACTAGTAAAGTATTTTAGGGAGAGTTTGCTCTTAAGAATTGTGCAGGTTTATTGGTGGGATCTATAACATATTGCTTGCTAAAGTTTGTTTGATTCATCGCACTTAGTACCTTTGTTACATATATATTTACATAAATGTTTCCTAACTTGCCATAATACTTTTTTTTTTTTTTTTTAGCGACATGGTTGTGTTCTGGTGCCCAGGCTAGAGTGCAGTAACATGATCCTAGCTCACTGCAGCCTCAAACTCTTGAGCTTAAGCAATCCAACTACTTCAGCCTCCCATATAGCTGAGATTTACAGGCATGCACCACCATATCCAGCTAATTTTTAAATTTTTTGTAGAGATGAGGCTTTGCTATGTTGCCTGGGCTGGTCTCAAAACTCCTGGCCTCAAGTGATCCTTCTGTTTTAGCCTCCCAAAGTGTTAGAATTACAGACGTGAGCTATGGCTACTGGCCAGTAATCCATTTTTTATAGGTTAAAAATGTGTGTGTCTGGGTATGCAGCCTAGCTACAGTTTTAGTTAACTACTGGGTTTATTTATTTATTTATTTTATAGTTCGTAGTATTTCACTACATTAACTCCAAAGTTATAAACACCCTACCTTTCAAAGAGAGAAACTCTGGAATTGTTTTTATTCTTTCAAAATAGATGATCTATTTGACATATTTTCCCCAACACAATCCATTTTATCCATGTTAAAGATTTGCTATTCCATATAGTCATTTTTTTCTATCATTGCTCTTAACTTTTCAGAATATATGTGTTTCTATTACTTTTATATCAACAGCCATATCAGTCATTTTTACACTGAAAAAATTGACAAACTTAAATCTCCTGAGCCAACCATAACTAGCTACAAACTTTGGCTATGGACATTGTACTTTCCTTTTACTGCTTCAGACAGATTTTTCACCTCTGCTTGAAGCTAGACAACTGTTGTTTTAGAATTATTTCTCCATCCTCATTATTAACACATTTCCATTTCATAGAGAGTTCCTGTATGTTGTTCCTTATCCATGGTGATGCTTTTTCCACTGTGAACTCTTTTTTTATTTTTATTTTTTGAGACAGAGTCTCACTCTGTCACCCAGGCTAGAGTGCAGTGGTGCAATCTCAGCTCACTGCAACCTTTGCCTCCCAGGTTCAAGTGATTCATGTGCCTCAGCCTCCTGAGCAGCTGGGATTACAGGTGCGCGGCTAATTTTTGTATTTTTAGTAGAGGCAGCATTTCACCATGTTGGCCAGGCTGGTCTTGAACTCCTGACCTCAAGTGATCCACCTGCCTCGGCCTCCCAAAGTGCTGGGATTATAGGTGTGAGGCATTGCCCCCGGCCTCCCTGTTAACTCTTTAATAGTTCTGCAGAGCTCTACAAAGGAGTAGTGTTACTGAGGATAATAAATTATCTAGAGATGCTGAGGAAAGGATTTATTGCTGTGATTGCTTTGCCTTATCTCTTGCCGACAATTTCTATAGCACCATTTAATTAAAACTGAACAAATTTCTGTCACATGAAGACTAATCACTGTCACAGATTCCACATTTAGGAACCATAGAGTATCAATACATTTCTTATATAGTTCTTTACTTCTTTTTTTTTCTGAGACAGAATTTTGCTGTGTCATCCAGGCTGGAGTGCAGTGGCACCATCATGGCTTACTGCATCCTTGATTCCCTGAGTTTAAGCGATCTTCCCATCTCAGCTTCTTGAGTAGCTGGGACTACAGGCGTGCACTAACACACCTGGCTATGAGCCACTGTACCTGGCCTCTTTTTTTTTTTTTTGGACATGTGGTCTTGCTCTGTTGCCCAGGCTGTAGTGCAGTGGCATGCTCATAGCTCACTGCAGCCTTGAACTCCTGGGCTTAAGCCATCTTTCCACCTCGGTCTTCCAAGGAGCTGGGACTACAGGTGCAGGCCACCACGCCCAGTAATACAATTTTTTTTTAGAGGTGGAGTCTGTTTATCTATCCATTTTCCAGCTGAGGGACAGTGGAGTTGTTTGCAGTTTTTGACAATTAAACGTGAAGTGTTATATAAACATTTGTAAATGTGTTTTTTGTGTGTGAATATATAGTTTCACATTTAGTTGGTAAATACCTGAAAATGGATTTGCTGGGTCATTTGGTAAGTATATGTTTAACTTTATAAGAAACTATCAAATTTTTCCAAAATGACTACATCATTTTGTATTTCAACCAGCAATGCATAATAATTTCAGTTGTGCCTTATCCTCACCAATACTTGGTATTGTCAGTTTAATTTTAGCCATTCTAATAGGTGTGAAGTGGCATCTCACTGTGGTTTTAATCTGTATTTCCCTAATGACAAAGATGTTGAGAATCTTTTGTCATTTGTATATCTTCTGTATATCTTCTTTGATGAAATATCTGCTCAAATCTTTTGCCCATTTTTAATGGTTGTTCGTTTTCACATTGTTGAGTCATTATTTATTTTGATGTTCAAACTAGTCCAGTTTTTCTAGTGGGATCCCCTTCCAGGTAGCTTCTGTCTCCTTTTGACATATCCTCATTATTCTTTGAGGAATTCTTTGCTATCTGGTGCAACAGATAATGCAGATTGATTTGTACCAACCTGGAATCAGCCACTTCTCTAAGGATCCCTAGTTTCCTTTAGTAGAAAATCATATTTAGAAATTAAGATCTGGGCTCTAGGTGTGTTCATTGATTTGGGGGAGTCATTGTTCCAAGGCCCTCTTAGTGGACAGAGCTAGGTACATAGACCTAGGTACATACACATTTACTATGAGTTTATTTCTATTTCTACCTATGGTTACTGAAATCTACAAAGATACCCCTAATTGTAATCCAACACCTAGAGTTTGGTCTAGTTTACTGTTCTCTTCTTTAACAGTGAGAAATTTAGCTGTATGTTATTCCATGTATAATTTAATATATGTACTTATTTGATTGATTATTTTATATATATGTAACCTCCTGTAACTGCTACTGTGATTTCCCTTTTTTAAAAAAGATATATTTGTCATGTTTTAACATTGAGATTTTGTTAGCTGCATAAAACAAGTTGAGAAGTGGTCTCTCTTTATTTCCTGAAAAGGTTTAATAAGTTGGTGTTATTTGTTCCTTGAATGATTAATAGAATTCTCTGATGAAGCCATCTGTCCCAAGAGCTTTATTTTGGGGAAAGTTTTGGATAATTTTTTTTTTTTTTTTGAGACGGAGTCTGGCTCTGTCGCCCAGGTTGGAGTGCAGTGTCGCCCAGGTTGGAGTGTAGTGGCGCGATCTCAGCTCACTGCAAGCTCCGCCTCCCGGGTTCACGCCATTCTCCTGCCTCAGCCTCCTGAGTAGCTGGGACCGCCACCGCGCCCGGCTATTTTTTTTTTGTATTTTTAGTAGAGACGGGGTTTCACCGTGGTCTCGATCTCCTGACCTTGTGATCCGCCCGCCTCGGCCTCCCAAAGTGCTAGGATTACAGGCGTGAGCCACCGTGCCCGGCCTAATTTTTTTTTTTTTTGAGACGGAGTTTGGCTCTTGTTGCCTAGGCTGGAGTGCAATGGTGCGATCTTGGCTCACTGCAACCTCCACCTCCTGGGTTCAAGCAATTCTCCTGCCTCAGCCTCCCGAGTAGCTGGGATTACAGGCAAGTGCCACCACGCCCGGCTAATTTTGTATTTTTAGTAGAGAAGGGGTTTCTCCTTGTTGGTCAGGCTGGTCTCGAACTCCCGACCTCAGGGAATCTGCCTGCCTCGGCCTCCCAAGGTGCTGGGATTACAGGTGTGAGCCACCGTGCCCAGCCTGATTTCAATTTCTTTAAAAAATACAGTGCTATTCAGATTTTCTGTTTCTTCTTGTGTCTCTTTTGGTAGGTTGTATTTTTTAATACTTTTGTTCATGTCATACAATTTTTAAAATTTGTTGGCATGATGTTGTTCATAGTATTCTCTTATTGTCCTTCTGTTTTGTTTTTGTTTTTGAGATGGAATCTTGCTCTGTCACCCAGGCTAGAGTACAGTGGCACAATCTCAACTCACTGCAACCTCTACCTCCCAGGATTAAGCGATTCTCCTGCCTCAGCCTCCTGAGTTACTGGGATTACAGGCGTGAGCCACTACACTTGGCTAATTTTTGTATTTTTAGTAGAGACGGGGTTTCACCATGTTGGCCAGGCTGGTCTCAAACTTCTAACTTCCAGTGATACATCCACCTCAACCTCCCAAAGTGCTGGTATTACAGGCGTGAGCCATTGCACCTAACCTCTTATTGTCCTTTTAATATCTGTAAGGACTGTGATGATTATTCCTTATTTATTTTTACTTTATTATGTTCACTTTCTTTTTCTTGATCAGTATAGTTAGGAGTTTGTCAATTTTGTTGTGTTTTTCAACAAAATCAAGCCTTTGGCATTGTTAATTTCCTCTGTTATCTGTCGGTTCCCTATTTTTATTGATGTCTCCTCTTAGTTTTTCCCTTTTTGGGTTTATTCTGCTCAATTTTTCTAGGTTCTTAAGGTAACTCATCACTTGGTCACTTAGATTTTTGTGTGTGTAATGTAAACATGTAAAGCTACACATTTTCCTCTAAGCACTGTTTTACCTTCATCCCACAGCTTTTGATATGTTGTATTTTCATTTCTATGCTTATTGAAATCTACAAAGATTCCTTTAATTCGAATCCAACATCACAGAGTTTGGTCTAGTTTACTCTCCTCTTTGAGAGTGAGAAAATTAGCTGTATGTTATTCTATGTATAATTTAATATATTTACTTATTTGATTAATTATTTTGTATATATCTAACCTCCTATTACTGCTACTATAATTTCCTTTTTTTTAAAAAAAGATATCTTTGTCATGTTTTAACATTAAGGTTAGTCCAGGCTGGGTGCAGTGGCTCACGCCTGTAATCCCAGCACTTTGGGAGACCAAGGCGAGTGAATCACGAGGTCAGGATATCAAGACCATCCTGGCTAACACGGTGAAACCCCGTCTCTACTAAAAATACAAAAAAATTAGCCGGGCGTGGTGGCGGGCGCCTGTAGTCCCAGCTACTCAGGAGGCTGAGGCAGGAGAATGGTGTGAACCCGGGAGGCAGAGCTTGCAGTGAGCCAAGATCGCGCCACTGCACTCCAGCCTGGGGGACAGAGCTAGACTCCGCCTCAAAAAACAACAACAACAACAAAAAAGGTTAGTCCATATGTTTTCTAATATCCCTTGTAATTTCTTCTCTGACCTATGAATTATTTAGAAATGTTGTTTAATAGCCAGGTATTTGAGGTTTCCCTAGATGTCTTCTTACTAATTTGTAATTTAATTCCATTGTGGTCAGAGAATACACTCAGTGTGATCTTGATTTTTTTAGACTCAATGAGACATGTTTTATGGTCTACAGTCTATCTTGCTGATTGACTTGGTTCCCTTGAAAAAAATGTATATTCTTTGTTGTTGGATTAATTGTTCTATAAATGTGAAACTAGATCAAGGTGGTTAATAGTACAGTATTCTTTAGATCATCTATGCTCTTAATTTTTTTTGTTTAGGTCTATCAGTTCTTGAAAGAGTGCTGTTAAAATCTTTTATTATGTTGTAGAATTACCTATTTATCTCTTATATCTGTTTGATTTAATTTAATTACATTAATTTATTTATTTCAAGAGAGAGTCTTGCTTTGTTGCTCAGGCTGATCTTGACCTCCTGAACTCAAGTGATCCACGTGCCTCGGCCTCCCAGAGTGCTGGGATTATAGGCATGAGCCACCATACCTGGCCTATATCTATTTATTTTTGCTTCATGTATTTTATTATTTTATTATTTTTTTTTTTAGAAATGGGGTCTCACTATGTTGCCCAGGCTGGAGTGCAGTGGCATGATCATAGCTCACTGCAACCTTGAATTCCTAGGCTCAAGCGATCTTCCCCCATCAGCCTCCTGAGTAACTAAGACTATAGGCACAGCTCACCACACCCAGCTAATGTTTTTCTTTTTTGTTCTGAGAGATGAGGTCTTGCTCTGTTGTTTTGGCTGGCCTTGCTGTGTTGTTCAAACTCCTGACATCCTCCTGAGCCTCCTGAGTAGCTGGGATTACAAGAGTGAGCCACCATGCCTGGCTGCTTTATGTATTTTAAATCTCTGTTATTAGGTATTTGCACATAATTGTTTTGTCTTTCTGATACATTGTCCCTTTTCTCATTATGAAATGCCTCTCTTTATCTCTGGTAGTGGTCTGTGCTTTGAATTCTGTTTTATCTGATACTAAAATAGCCATTCCAAACTTCTTATACGTATGTTTGCATAGTAAATCTTGTTGATTTCATTTACTTTCACCCTATCTGATTTTTATATTTATATTTAAAGTGTTTCTTTCACAGACAGCATATAAGTAGGATCTTTCCTTTGTATACATTGTGTCAGTCTTTGCCTTTTAATTGGAATGTGTATTCATTTATTATTTCAGCTACCTTAGAGATATGGTAGTCCCCCCTTATCTATAGTTTTGCTTTCTGCATTTTCAGTTACCTGTGGTCAACTGTGGTCTGAAAATGTTAGTGGAAAGTTCCAGAAATAAACTGCTCTTAAGTTTTAAATTGCACGCCATTTTGAATAGCCTGATGAAATCTCGAGCTGTCCAGCTCTGTTCTGCTTGGGACATGAATCATCCCATTGTCCCATGTATCCATGCTGTATACATATGCTACCTACCCTTTTATTGCTTAGTAGCTGTCTAGGCTTTCAGATTAAAAAAGAAATACAATACTATATATTTAGGGCTTGGTACTATCTGAGGTTTCAGGCATCTGCTGGGGGCCTTGGAACATATCCCTCACGAATGGGGGGGACTACTTAACACACTAAATTAATATCCATTTATTATCTCAGTTTCTGAGTCAGAAGCTTGGGCACAGCTGCTTCTCTGCATGAGTCTCACAGGTGGAAATCAAGGTGTCTGCAGGGCTGCATTATTTTCTGGAGGCATTAGGGGAGAAACCATTTCCAGGCTCACTTAGGTGGTTGGGCTAATTTAGTTCCATATGGTTGTAGGGCAGAAGTCCTTATTTCCTTGTTGGCTAACAGCTGGGGCTTGTTCTCAGCTTCTAGATGCCACCCGCATTCCTTGGCTCATGGCCCACTTCCTCTGCCTTCAAAACCAGCAACAGTGGTCAAATCTCTCTTACACTTGAATCTCTCTGACCACTCCTTCTGCCTCATCTCTGACTCACTCTGATGCTAAGAGCTCATATGATTACACTGGGCCCATGAAGATAGTCTATCCTAATTAGTAACATTTAACAGCAAATTAGTAACAATTAACAGCTAATTAGTAATATTTATTCCATGTACAAAGTCCCTTCATATCAGTACTGAAATTAGTTTGATTAACTAGCTAGGGACAGAAATCTTAAGGGCATAGCTTTACAATCCTGCTGACCACAGAATGTTTAGACCATTAACATTTAATGTGATAATTGATGTTTTTGGATTTAGTCCCATATTTTTATTATTTGTTTTCTGTTTGCTCCTGTTTTTCCTTTCCAGTTTTCTTTTGTTTTTGAATAGTTTTAGTATTTTTTCAGCAATATCTTTTAATATATTTTTTTAGTGATTGCTCAAGGAATTATAATATACATCACTAATTTTTCATAGTCTACATTGTACCCCTTGAAATAAAAAGTAGGAACTGCCCATCCATTTCTCCATCATCCAGGAAAGACGTTGGTTCTGAGGTTGACATACCTATGAAGGACGGTAACTACCATAGCTTCCAGCGCTTTGGCAAAACCTCAGCTGTGTGATCTTCTGGCCAAATGTCTGTGATTTCATATTGTTGGAACCTTTATTGTATCCCTGGGGGTTGCAGCTATCTGTAAGATTGCTGTGGCTGAAGCAAGAAAGAAGACATATGCAGATTTCTACAGAAATTATGATTCCGTGAAAGATTTGGGGGAGATGGGGAAGGCTGGTATCTTTCAGAATACAAAGTGATTTTGGAATGCAAAGGATTTCTTTGGGTTGAATTACCTAGAAGTTTGTCACTTACCTGTGTTCCTGAACTATGAAACATGAATATGTGGTCTAAGAAATAATTTCTCTTGATAAATAATTAACAACAAAAGAAGTAGGAACCTTGCAAACGTATTCCCTTCTCCCCAGTTTGCACTTTATGTTAGAACTTCATATGTACTACATTTATATGTCTTCAGAACCCCAAATACATTACATGTTTTATTTTAAACAGTCATAAATATTTTTAACAATTTATGAGAAAAAAGTTATCTTTTATATTTACCTAGCTCTTTACCGTTTCTGTTGGTCTCTCTTTTTCCCTAGATTCCAATTGTCCTCTGGTATTATTTTCCTTCAGCCTGAAAAACTTCTGTTAGCATTTCTTGCAGAGCAGGTCTGATGGCAACAAATGTTCTTAGTTTTTCTTCATTTGAGAATGACTTTATTTTACTTTAATTCTTGAATTATATTTTATTGGAAATAGAATTTGGGTTGACATGTTTGTTTTGTTTTGTTTTCCTCTCAGCACTATAAAGATGTGATTCTTCTGTCTTATGATCTCTGTAATTTCTGGTGGGAAATTCTCAGGCATTTGAATTGTTTCCCTATACGTAATGTTTCATTTTCCTCTAGTTGCTTTCAAGATTTAATTTTTATCTTTTCTTTTCATTAGCTTAAATATGATGTATCTAGACATAGTTTTCTTTGAGTTTATCCTATTTGGGGTTTGACAGCCTTTTTGAATCTGTAAACTTACATATTTTACCAGATTTGGGAAGTTGTTGGTAATTGTTTTTTGAAATGTTTTTTTTTTTTTTTCTGCCGTAATCTCTCACCTCTCCTTCTGAGAGTCTAATGATATGTATGGTAGACCATTTAGTATTTTCTCATAGGTTCCTGAGACTGTTCACTTTTTCCTAAACTTTTTTCTTTCTAATCTTCAGGTTGGGCCATTTCTATACATCTATCCTCAAGTTCTCTGACTTTTTACTTTATCATCTTCATTCTGCTATTAAGCACATCCAGTGAGATTTTAAAATTTCAGATACTGTACTTTTTAGTCCTAAAATATACGTTTGACTCCCTTTTATAGTGTCTACTTCTCTGCTAAGAATTCCTATCCCTTCATCCATTTCAAGTATGTTTTCCTTTACTTCATGTAGCAGAGTTATAAGGGCTGCTTCAAAGTCTTTATATGATGGTTCCAAGAGGTTTTTGTTTTTGTATTTTTGTAATGAGTAGAAGAGATGGGCTGTAGTGGGCTTACACTGCCATAGCAGATCAGAATTATCTTTTAACATAAGCATAAACTAAGATCAAAGAATAACATCCACTCAACAGTAATGTTTGGTACTAAAAAAACAGGAAAAGAATAATGTCTCCTTACTTCGTTCTTTTCCATGTAGGCAACTTGAGCTATGAATAGTTAATTCTAAACATCTAATATTTGAACAAATAGAATTGAAATTTTGGGGAAGTGGAACTTTTGCAATTACTGAGAACCTGTGATGCTCTGTTATTAATTTACAGGTATCAGGACCTCCCCTGTCAGATGATTCAGGGGCTGATTTGCCTCAAATGGAACACCAGCACTGAGAACCATTTTGGTTCTGAACTGGGTAGGTGTGATTTCCCATACTTAAAGCCGTGCAGCCTTTCACGGGTACTATTTTGTGGCTTGCTGAAGACCAATTTTTCAGCTGAAACCTTCTCCAGTGATTGATTCCATGAGAGCTTCTGATAGAGAAAGTTTTGCCACTTAGAAAACGAGAAGTAGTATTTATCTCTGAGATGAAATCTCTTTTCATAGAGCATATATCTCTTGCTCTTAAACTAATCTCCTGCATTTTATTGGATATAGTAATGTGAATTTAGTGTGACAAGTGCTCAAGAAAGATATATACCTATCTCCCTTATCAGTCATTTGCCCTGTGGGCCTGTAAAGCAAGACTGATTATAGTCATGCCTCGCTTAATGTTCTGAAAGATGCATCCTTAGGTGATTTCACTGTTATGCTAACATCATAGTCTACTTACACAAAGTTAGATGATGTAACCTACTATATTCCTAGGCTATATGGTACAGCCTATTGCTCCTCAGCTACAAACCTGTATAGCATGTTACTGTGCTGAATACTGTAAGCAATTGTAACACAATGGTAAGTATTCATATATCAAAACATAGAAAAGGTAATGCATTGCACTATGATGTTATCATGTCTATGATGTCACTAGGCAATAAGAATTTTCAGCTTCATGATAATCTATGGGACTACCATTGTATATGCAGCCCATTGTTGACCTAAACATTGTTATATAGTGCATGACTATACTTGGCAATATTTTTCCCAATAAAGAGAGATCAGTGCTATACCAAATTATTGACTTCCTTTTAAATATAACTTTTTTTAGTGTTAAAAAACCAAAACAAAAATCAGACTTTTTTTTTTGTTTGAGATGGGATCATACTGTGTTGTCCAGGCTGGAGTTGGGTGGTGTGATCTCGGCTCACTGCAATCTCTGCCTATTAGGCTGCAGTGATCCTCCCACCCCAACCTCCTGAGTAGCTGGGACCACAGGTGTGTGCCACAAAGCCCGCCTAATTTTTTGTTTTTTTGGTAGAGATGGGGTTTCACCATGTTGCCCAGGGTGGCCTCGAACTCCTGAGCTCAAGTGATCTGCCCACCTTGGCTTCCCTAAGTGCTGGAATTAGAGGTGTGAGCCACCGTGTCTGGCCAATCAGACCATTTTGAGTGATAATTTATTTGCTCAAGCAAGTCATTCAATGTTTAATATCTCATTAACTATATAAAATATTATGATGATAAATTGCCACATTCTAGTAACTTTTTTTTTTTTTTTTGAGACGGTGTCTTGCTCTGTCACCCAGGCTGGAGTGCAGTGGCGCAATCTTGGCTTACTGCAACCTCCAAGTGATCCTCATGCCTCAGCCTCCCGAGTAGCTGGGATCACAGGTGTGTGCCACCATGCCCAGCTAGATTTTGTGTCTTTAGTAGAGATGGGGTTTCACCATCTTGGCTAGGCTGGTCTTGAACTCCCAACCTCGGGTGATCTGCCTGCCTTGGCCTCACAAAGTGCTGGGATTACAGTCATAAGCCACCATGCCCAGCCCATAACTGTATTATTGGAATTAATCTGTTAATCTTTACAAAGCATTTTGAGCATCTGTGACATCAAAGGTGAATTCACTGTGAAGTGAACAAAGCTTAAGTTTTGATCTTTCATTTGCACAGGTCCTTTCAAGGCCCTGGGAAAGTCTTTGTAATTCATTCATTTCAGTTAATTCACGTTGAGCAATGAACAACTAATTCATACAAACTGTGTAAACTACAGGCTCTGCAAAACTTGTATGTGTTTTGTCAGAATTAGTCATTATTTGCATAAAAGGAGATATGTGTTACATATAGTAGTTTTTTTTTTTTTTTTTGAGACAGAGTTTCACTCTTGTTGCCCAGGCTGGAGTGTGCAATGGCGCGATCTCCGCTCACTGCAACCTCTGCCTCCCGGGTTCAAGCGATTCTCCTGCCTCAGCCTCCTGAGTAGCTGGGATTACAAGCATGGGCCACCATGCCTGGCTAATTTTCTTGCATTTTTAGTAGAGACGGGGTTTCTCCATGTTGGTCAGGCTGCTTGAACTCCCAACCTCAGGTGATCTGCCCGCCTTGGCCTCCCAAAGTGTTGGGATTACAGGCGTGAGCCACCGTGCCTGGTCATACACATGATAGTTTTGATTGGTAATTGTTCTAAAGATTGTCTTAAAAATTAGCTGTTGACACATCAACTGAAATCTAAGGTTTTCTTAAACTACATAGTACCCACCAATATTATCAATATATGCAATGTGAGAAAGCAAGTGAGATAGAAATTAATTTTTAGAAGGATTTTATGTAAAATAGTTGATGGTATATCCTTCTGTGCTTTTAGATGCTGCTCTTGCACTTGAGATGACATCTTCTTGCAGCAAGAGTGCTGATATCCCAAGAGGAGAGATTCATGGTTTTGATCATTTCCTTCTGAACTGCCTGCATTTTCTAAGGAAGGCCTTCTAGAATAAGGAAAGACAAAGACTTCCAAATGTTTCAAAGGAAGATTGAACAAATGGCCCTCCTCAAATGTTATCCCATTACCTTTCACGTCCACCGATGCTATTTCAAGATATATCCAGTGGAAGAACAGTGATACGGTTCTTGTTACATGAATGTGTATTTACTGTTAGAAGATTGTATATTTTAAGTTACCCATGATTAAAAGTGAGTAAAAAAGGGGGACAGAGAGAAATATTATAAAAGGCCATGTTACTCATGCATTGAACTTTGTGTGTTTTCTGTATAAATGTGTACATTTATTTAGGAGTGGGTTTGGTGGGGGTAGGTGATAATCATTAGGATCAGTTGAAGAAAACTGAAGAAACTAGGATCAGTAAGAGAAACTGTTTGCTTTGCCCGAATTTAACTATGAAAACACACTTAAAAATCTTACGTGTTTCTAGATATTAAGGGAATATGTAACTCCTGTCCATGGGTAGACGTGTATCTTTGGTTTCTGTACTTATTGTTGATGTTCTATCAGTATATTATGAGACTGACCTCTCTGCTGATCTTCTAAGAACCACACTAATGCAAGCTTGACAGAGAAACCTCTTTCGAATGACTTACTACCACTCTGGCATTGGCTAGTTCTCTGTATTATAAGATTCTGGTGCTAATGTTCCATACGGAATTGATCAGGACTGATTACTCTTCTGTGAACCAATTGCTATTGAACCACCCAGCTGAAGAGGCTTTGGGGAGAGAATGTTCATGATTATGGACTCCACTTTTGTCCCCTGGTAGTTTATGGGTGATACTAGAATCCAGAGAAGTTCCTGTCTCCTTGTGACCTCAAACACTTAGGCCTTCTCAAAAACTTTCCACCAAGGTGCAAAATCATTTACCTACATTCCACACATCTTTTCCAATGCATGGATCCAGAACTTTTTAGGTGGGAGGAATAAACCAAGTTGGCTACAGATTCTTGATTTCTGGGTTTCTAGCCATGCTCTGCTTTATCATTTTAGAGAATGGTTGTTTAAGGAACCAGAATTTGTGTGAGTTTTTTTTTTTTGCCTTAACCAGTTAATAGTGTGTTGCTTTTTTCCCAAAGCCATTGACTAGAACTTAGCTGAAGAATTTAACTAGGACTTTTCTTTTTCACTCTGAGGAGCTTAATATTGAAATTCTGACCTTGGATATTTAAGCCTCAAAAGAGTAGGATATTCAAGAGGAGGCAAATAAGGGGTTTCAATGTACAAGTCTATTTGGTGGTGAAATTAAAATTTGGTCTTGATTTAAAAGCTCTACTTTTAATCTGTGACCAGGTGTTTGACTACATTAGTATGGCTAACATGCTGAAAAAACTAGAGTATCGGCATTAATAGGCTTCATATTAAAATGTTACTATTTTATTTTTACTTTGAAAAACACTGCCAGTAGATTCTGCAGCATGGCCAGCAGGTAATACTTAAAGCCAAATGGCGCTTCGGCTTATTTCAATACTATTTTTATGTAAAGATCAGTGTGAACATAACAGCTCAATGGTTGAGGTTCTAGGATCAATTACCTTACAGTTTTTATATTAGCTTTTGATATCTTTTGCCTATTAAAACACCTTGTGAACTTTAGAATTAAGGAACTAAAAATTATTTACTATAAGTCCAAGTTACGACTTGAGGATTGTATCTAATTAGAACTGTGGCAGAACTACTAGAAAAAGAAGATTCTGCAAATTGGTTTCAGTGGTTCTTGATGTAATCATAATCATCAACAATAATAGATATTGAATCAAAGTCATCCTTTTTTTAAGTTTAAGGTTATTTAGTTTCTCTTGCAAGGATATGATTTAGTCACACACTATAGGGAATATGTGTATGTACTGTTGGGGAGCAGTGGGCTTGCTGTGTGTATGTATGTTTTAAAATTAATAAATATTATCTTACTGGGCTCCATAGATGGTTTTAGTTTAGATTTATTTAATTAAGAGGCTATAAATAATATATACACTACTGTATGGTATTTAACAAATAAGTTTGAAATCTGTTAATTCTTCTTGAAAACTTTGGATGTAGGGGTGACAAGCTAATTTTCTTGTATAACTGGTGATATAAGCAGCATGGTCATAAAACAACATTTCTTGTGAAGACTAACTGGTAAAAGTTTTGACAGAACCTGGTTTTCCTGACCGAGAATCCCTTGCTTGCTTAGAATATCTGACTTCCCATTGAAATGGAACATAGAAAATGTGTTTTCTTATGTGTCTCTCATTATTGGTTCCTCTATCTTAGTTGTGCTAAAATATAAGGCTGGACTTGTAATACACTATGTATCAGACTAGATTGAAAAATGTGATCCATTTGTTTTCTAAGCCCTCCTCTATATAATTGAACCACTGTCAGGGGATTAGAGAAGAAACAGAGCACTGCTCCTAAGACTTTAGGCTAGTCTTAGTGAAATGGACTAAATGGATTTTTCTCTGTTGTTTTTTGCATTAAGTGTTTTTGCACTAGAAGAGGGTGCTTAACACTCCTCTATATCAATAAAAAATTTTGTTCTCACATTGTTTTCTCAAGGGTCTTATTTTTTCTGTTGATAGCTTCAGACATGAAATAACTCGAAAATGTAATTAATGTACAGCATATTTTTTCTTAACATGCCCTCTGAGAAGTAAGTACCTTATGTTATCACTCGTGGGTAACTTGTGTTTTGTGTTTATAGATATTTGTGGATATCTGATGTTGAATATATTCTGGGAAATTTTCTTTTAAAACAAAAACCCATCCACAAAACAGCGTTTTTCTTTGTGTTCAGTGAAAATTCGGTTTTGCCCATTGCACATTCTTAATTTCTATATTCTCTACTTTGGCACTCAGGGTCATCTCCTGTAGAAGTGAAGTTTCTGGTAACATTTTGGAAAATGTATTGTCGATTAACATGAACATATAAGAAAGGTTCAGGGAAATGAAAACAATGTATCTCAATTCAGCATGTTTTCCTATCCCTAAGCTAGGGTAGGATCTCCTATCAGTCCGGAGAACAGGCTTTCATATCAGTTTACCTCCATCCAGCTATCCCACTTGCTCTAGACCTGGCAAGTGATCTTCATTAATCTTGCTGCTAGGATTTAAAACTATCCCTTGACCCCCACAAAATAATGTTTTAATTGGTCACTTCCCTCCTTAACCTGTTTCATTATTTTATTTGATTATTATTTTTTTTATAGAGACAGGGTCTCACTATGTTGCCCAGGCTGGTCTTTAACTCCTGTGCTGAAACGATCCTCCTTCCTTAGCCTCCCAAAGTGCTAGAATTACAGGAGAGAGCCACCATGCCCGGCCTCCTCAACCCATTTTTAGTTGTCTTCCTTGGCTTCTCACTCTTTTTGTTTACATGTATACCTATCTCCCCCCCAGTTTTTTTTTTTTTTTCTTTAACTAGAAAAGCCATTTATTGAAAGGTGGTAAGTTGCTCCTCAACCCACCAGAAGAGTCAGGGTTAGATTCTGAAAACACAGAGGCAAGAACAATACCCAGTGTCACTGCCTCACGGAATTTTTAAATCTATAAAGATGGGGAACTTTATGTAGCACAGTGATTCCTATGTAACAATAGTAATAACCCTATGAAAGTAGGAATGTTATTCATGCTTTGTAGGCAAGATAATAGGCTTAGAAAACTTAAGGAATTGACTCAGTGTCACTCAATAAATGATAGAGCCGTGGGTGTTGAAATAAATATATGATTATGATTATTTAGAGCTGGAATTAATTTTTAAAACCTGTTTAAATAATATAACATTGAGAGCTTAGACTCCTGGAGCTACATGCCCCCTCATTTACTTCTAGAGGAGATGACAAGGAGTTTCCCCAGTCATTAAACAACACTTCACTGTTATTGAGCCTAATTTGGATACTGCTCATCCCTGAATCAATCACAGTAGCCAGGTGAATGACAATCACTGATGACTTGAACCTTGGGCCTCTGTTAAATTCCCTTCCCTTAATTAATAATGGAATCAAAGGGAAACTGAATTATGCTGATTGGCTTAGGCCAATAGCAGCCCACCCATGGAACCACATGGCTTCCACAAAGCAGGGCAGGCACAGAATGGACATTGGAAAAATGATCACAGTGCTAACCAGAGATGGCCATTTTTTGAAGCTGCAAAAGGAATGCTTTATTTTAGATTTGGATTGACTCTGCCAAATTGTCCCTCAAAAAGACTGTACTAATTTATATTCTCACCAACAGTATATGAGAAAATTTTCTCACGTTAGATATTAATAGTTTCCATTTTGGCCAGATAGATGGGTGAAACCTTGCTTTGGTTTACATTTTCTTGATTACTACTGAGGTTACACATATTCTGATATATTTTATATATATATATTGGTCATTTGAATTCCTTCTGTGAATAAAAGATATTAAGGTCTTTAAAAAAGGTAAAGCAGATTTTAGTTTGAGTATTGGAGGCTTCCCTCTATAGATGGTTTTTCTATATCTGACAATAAGGGAAAAACCAGATTCAGATAATATGGTTTGGCTCAAGACATATTGTGGCTAAAAATGAGTTTTGAGAAATGCAACCCAGCCAGAAGAATGCTTTTTTTTTTTTGAGACGGAGTCTCCTGCTGTTGCCCAGGTTGGAGTCAAGTGGGGCGATCTTGGCTCACTGCAATCTCCGCCTCCCGAGTTCAAGAGATTCTCCTGCCTCAGCCTCCCGAGTAGTTGGGATTACAGGCGTGCACCACCACGCCGGGCTAATTTTTGTATTTTTAGTAGAGATGGGGTTTCGCCATGTTGGCCGGGTTGGTCGCGAACTCCTGACCTCAGGTGATTCGCACACCTCGGTTTCTGAAAGTGCTGGGATTACAGACTTGAGCCACCGCCTCCGACCAGAAAGGTTTTTTTTTTTTTTTTTTTTTTTTTGAGACGGAATCTTGTTCTGTTGCCCAGGCTGGAGTAGTGCAGTGGCGCGATCTCGGCTCACTGCAAGCTCCACCTCCTCGGTTCATGCCATTCTCCTGCCTCAGCCTCCCGAGTAGCTGGGACTACAGGCGCCCGCCACCTCGCCCGGCTAGTTTTTTGTACTTTTACTAAAGGCGGGGCTTCACGGTGTTAGCCAGGATGGTCTGGAACTCCTGACCTCGTGATTCGCTCGCCTCGGCCTCCCAAAGTGCTGGGATTACAGGCGTGAGCTACCGCGCGCGGCCCCGAATGTATTTTTTTAAAACTACACTTGTTTTAAGTAAGATAGGTCCCCTTTCTTCTTCTGGGTTTTGGGAGGAAATAAGTCAATGAGAGATTAACACGTCTCCCTCCTGAGGCAGAGGGATGAAGGAGATGTCAGTTCTGCTTGGATGGACAGGAATTATTTAAGGAAAGTTATGAAAGATCTGAGCTCTGGGATTGCGCCGTTGACCTCACATCCATTGACACCTTACTGCCTTGGCTCTGTTCAGTACCGCCCGGTGCTGCCAAGCCGTGATCCAGGAGGTGGCAGTAAAGCCCCTCTCACAGCAAGCCGTAGCTTTCCCAAGGGCAAAAATACTAAAATCTGAGACGAATTATACCCGAGGGGTATTATCTGTTTCTTTTTGTCCATGTATTCAATAAATGGCCTTCTTTTTCCATTTTAAAGAGCTGTGTTAAGGAGTGCTCAAACTATTTGAACTAGAGGCGTGGCCAGGGAAAACTGTAAAAGACAGGCCATCAGACGGCACTGCTAGTGGAGGGGCGCCCCCTGGTGGATGGATGTTGTTAGTTAAACACTCTAGTGCAGGTTCCTAGGTGTTTAGGAAGTGGAAGAAATCCAATGCACTTGACCTCCCCAGTCTCTGCGATTATGTCAGGACCTCCCTAATGTCAGCAGGTGGCCGGTAAACTCAGAGGTCAGCAAGGCAGAACCAGTGGCTAGAGGGAGATCTAGGCTGGAGGGAGCATGGGGGTGGTGGGGAAGAGCTGTGGACTTCACTGAGAATCCCGAACAAGAAAAACAAGTTGGAGAATTTTGAAAGTAAATTTGCCTCACAAAATGAAATGTTGTAGGTGGGTTAAGGCAGAGTGGAAGGAAAAATTTCACTTCCAAGGATGCCAGCCTAATAAGGGTTCTGAACATCTTTGGAATTAATTGGAAACATGGTTTTCAATTATGATGTCTGTGTAAGTGGCAAAATGTAAGTCAATCTTCATAAAGCTTGGAAATTTGAAGATGAGTCTGCACTGGCACTAGCTTTCTTTCTTGATTATATTTGGAGTACAGCATAGGGAGTTTGTATGGTGCAACCAGACACATTTCCAACCTTTATAGCAGTTGGTTAATATGTGGTTTTAGTCAGTCGTCAGTGCACTCAAATGCCGAATCTGAGAAAGTGCAGGGCATAATGTTGTTTCGGGAAAATAAGCCATGTATTTTGTGTCTAAAATTTAAACACTTGATACACTTCTCAACGTGCTGATTTGAAAAACAGAATCATCAAAGAAAAATGAAGAGGGACTGTAGAAAAGGAGAAACGTATTGCCAATACGGAAACAGAACTTTAAATTTTTATTGCTATTACTCTATGAAATCTACCTCTATCCTAGTTGAGGGTGAGCATCTAATTATCTAGGTGGAGTAAATTGTAAAAAATGTTTCTAAAGAAGTTAAAAAATTTATTATGTGCAGAACATGTAATAAACTTTTAATTGAGAACATAAGCCAGGAAGTAAATAAATTTTGCTGGCAGAAAATCAATTTCTCTGTGCTTCTGAAACAGATCTTTGAAGAATAACTGTTTGAAGAGCAATCTCAAATAATTAGCCTTCCAAGGAAACCTAGGTGTCTTGATCTGGCCCTGGAGGAGGGGTTTTAGAAATAGGATTGGGGCCGGGCACGGTGGCTCAAGCCTGTAATCCCAGCACTTTGGGAGGCCGAGACGGGCGGATCACGAGGTCAGGAGATCGAGACCATCCTGGCTAACACGGTGAAACCCCGTCTCTACTAAAAAAAAATACAAAAAACTAGCCGGGCGAGGTGGCGGGCGCCTGTAGTCCCAGCTACTCGGGAGGCTGAGGCAGGAGAATGGCGGGAACCCGGGAGGCGGAGCTTGTAGTGAGCTGAGATCCGGCCACAGCACTCCAGCCTGGGCGACAGAGCGAGACTCCGCCTCAAAAAAAAAAAAAAAAAAAAAAAAAAAAAAAAAAAAAAAAAAAGAAATAGGATTGGACTCAGTTTAAAAAAGAGAGAGTGATAGATCCTGCTAATAGAAGTTTGAGAGAATTACAAAATTAAGTCAGCAATTGAACTGGACCATTCTCTATCTTTGGTTGCCGTTCCTACCTACCCTGCAACAGACTACTGAAAGAGAGAAAATTGCATCTACAGTGAAACAGATAATTCATTTTAAACGAGAAATTCATTAAAAAAATCCTGAAAGGAGATTGAAAGCATACATTGGTGACCAGTAACTATTTTATTTGAGAGAGACGTGTGTGCCTTATCTTTTTCTCCTCAATAGTTCTTTTTATTCTGAGTGAAGATTTTTAAATCTTGAGGCTTCCCCTGATATATGTGAACTGA